CGTCTGGAGACGTTCAAAAGGAAAACTGGTTATCACAGGAACTCCTCCAAAACAGATCTGTTCAGGCATTGAGCCAGTGGTGTACGGTGAGGAGAAATAAGAGAGTATGTATATCAAAAGAACCTCATTTGGGTGGCAGGATTCCCGTCTGTTTAGTTTTAATAAAAGTCTCCCCCTGTCCCCTAACATAGCATTTAGTTCTGCCATAGAGAAATCCAACCTTGCTTGACTTGGTTTATGGCACCCGGACAAATGGTAATTATCAGCCTATAATTCCCTTGAGGGGAGCTGATGTTTCAATAAATTATAAGAGCTGAGCTTGAGTGGTTTATGGCACCATCAAAACCTTGATATGGACATATAATCTTATAACCACGGCTTGCTAGGAAATAGGTGTTTGCACAACGGGTAATTTAGGAGTCTCCGGCACCTCTCAGAGAGCAGGAGGCCTGCCAGGATGATCCCCAGCAGCCCCCAAGCCACCTCTTAGTGGAACCGAAGACATTTCCTCTCTCAATAGTTGGCCAAGGTTTCTCCAAGTTGAACATATTTGGATCCACACTGGTACACACATCTCTAAGACTTGGCCATCCCCCAAAATAGTTATGTGACCACAGGTATTTTCTCAAGTGTGTAACATGTTCACAAGCATCTCAGAGTAAGGAGGAGTTTTATACTACACACCCAAGGACACAGAGGAAGAGGGGATGCCTACATCTATAGCAACCTTGATCACTGTCATTTAATATTAAAATTTATAAGATCTCTTGTTTTCAAAATGTGTTAGAGCCCTATTAGAAGCAAGAGGGCACAAGACATTCAACAGATATTTATTGCGAGGCTCCACTGCGGACACATAGAATTGTCCAGTTGAAAGATAGAAATATGACAGGATTGCTAAAAAACACTGAAAACAAATTCCATTATTTCTCGAATTTATTTATAACATATACCTTCTGACTTCCAAAAGGAGTTTGAAGTCACTTAGAATACAATGCCATGATTTAGATAAATACCAAATATATTCTATTATAAAATATGTTTTATTATATGTATGTGTGTGTGTGTGTGTGTGTGTGATTTTTTGAATGTGTCATAGGAGAAGTGGGAGAGAACTGTGTTGGCAGTCAAAAAGTAAGTTAAAGCAACTTGGGTCTAAATTTCTCCTTAAACTTCTTAGGAAAAGAAGAGAAAAGAAGATAAACACTATATAATTGTTGGGAAAACCGAGGTTTCAGTAAGAAAGTTGCTCAGTTTCTTACTGAATATGAAGGCCACAATCTCATAACTAGGCCTCAAAATTCAGAAAAGAAAAGCTGTTCTTCACAGCAGTGGTTGTGACCAGGCTTTATAAATCCCTGCAATAAACCAATTAAAGCGTTAGGCTGACCAGGCAAAGGCTTTAGCACAAAAGGAGGGTTACCCATCGGTGTCATTTCCACACACTACCTTAATCTAATGCCATATTTTTAATGTGCTTTCTAAAAAACATCTATGCCTCAAGTTGCTTCACAAATTTTGGCATCAACATCCATTTGCCTTATAATCTTTGTCCTATGTCTATTAAACATACGAATATCAATGTCCAAAGATTTTTTAAAGTACTTATTTTCAAAAGCATTTATTAGTCTTCCACACCCGTGCATAAGAGAATCCAGTACACTCTGGAGAGAATGTTGTTTTGTTAGATAATCTATTTTTATAGGAATAAATGCAGACAGGCTGAAAGTATTAATAGGAATAGTTGCATTATAAAAATTCATACAATAAAATAACCACTCTAACATATTTTCTGACTTCAATATCAGCTCAAGAGGTCTGTCCCACCAAGGGTGTATGCTTCTTTTAATTTAACAATAAGAATACACAATCCATCCTTTGGTTTAACCAAAGAAGCACAGAGCTAAATCAAATGTCTAACTGAAGTGACTAATTAATCCTGGTAGTTCTACTCCTCTTAATTGATCTCGTAAATGGTTCTGTTTTTATTTTTAATTGTCCTGTTACTGTAAGCTACCTCAAAGCCTTTTAGAAAAAGCACAAATCATGTATAAACAAATGTAGAAAATACAAATACTTTCTACAGGGGCTTAGGTAAATTGTAGGAGGAACCAATAAATTCATATCAGAGTACAAGAGAAATTGGAGAATGAAAGCTCTTTGTAATGTCCCAGAACTGCCCCTTTGTAAACTATGGCAGAGATGATCCATAAAGCCAAACAATTCACAAATGCCAGGGAGAGAAATATCAAACCAATACCAGGGAGAATTCAGGGTTTGCTTTTCATTTCAACAATATAGATTCATGGCACCTAAATTAAAATCACCAGACAGATTCAAATGCCTTCAAGTTCCAAGCAGGTAGTATTTATAAATAAGTGATGTGATTAGTAACAACAGGGAAATGCAAGGTAGGCCTTATGGAGAAATAGAAAATGTGCCTCTTCACCATTTAAATTCAAATTTTTCTCAAACATGCTTCAGGGCAAACAAAACACATCTGCCAGCCACAATCAATGGCTCAATGCCCATTTTGTGACCCCTGATTTAAATAATCAGTAGATTTCATTCCACTGTTTTCCCAAGAGTGAAACTACTGGCATTTGGAGTGTGACAATTTTTTACTGTGCAGGACTTTCCTGTGCATTGCAAGTCAATGGACGTCTGGCTCTCCCAGGAACCAAAAACTGTAATACGCTTCAGACAACTAAAAATGTGGCTTCTTCCAACCTCTAAACATGTGCCTGCCCCACCCCCTCATCCAGGGTAAGAACTAGTGTATCTAGTTCCTTGGCGAACTCACTCTATCTCTTGATATTTTCTTGTTTCACCTTGTATTTTTGCTTCTTCAGAATAAAGGTACAATGTGATTTTTAGGATTTAAGGATAGTGTATTAGGCGGCCCTTTCCTTTGTCTTACACTGGATTAGAAAGGGTGCGGTGGGTATGAAGAGGTTGGCAGAAAATGTGAAGATAATGAGATGAGGAGGAGGAGGAAAGATCAAAGGCAGTCAATGCAGTCACTAGGTAAAGGAAACAGCCGGAAAAGTATGTGGGGAGGTTCAAAAGTACGAACCTGTCATCTTTGTTATCGCTACCATCACACAGTTTTCCAGAGTTGTTCTCTTTCATTCTTTTCTATCAGCTTGGAACTTTCCCAGAATGCCCAATTTGCGAGACTCTACATTTTGTGTCTTTGGCCTCTAGATAAAGGTAAAACCCTGTCTTAATGACCATCATTTGTAACATTCAGTCCTGCATAATGAGGCCATTGCCAACTCACGGTCGATAGCGCACCCTAACCCAAGGTTGTTGGTATGGATATAATTAGCTCCCTTAAATGAAAATCTTACATAGAACAGATGTATTCTAAAGTCCTTGTTCATTTACTAGCCAACCTAGTTAATATGCTTATATAGTGTTACACTCAAAAATACAAATTACTTTAGAATGACCACGTGTTACAATATCCTTAGTAAATCTGGCATCAATTCTCAGAATCAGGCTTCTCTTGCTTTCTTTTTTTGAGTGGAGAGTTCTTGCTACCTATAGGTCTTACTGGCTGTCGGCATTCCCCCGATAGGGCAATGGCCCACACATTTTTAAAGAAGGCAGTAAGGTCTCAGGGATTTGCAGACTCGAAGCTGTTTGGAGATAAAGTTGTTAACAGAGAAGAGAAAAAGAGCCAAGGTGGGGTAGTGGGGTGGGAATGTGAGTGTCAGACAATTTCAAAATAGAGGGGAGTTAGAGATAAGTAAGGCAGAGCAGAAGACTCAGATTGGGGGAAAGTCAGGAAGTGTAAATGATTCAAAGCTTGGTTTTGGCAGAAAAGCCAAGACTAGCAGGGGTCAGGGGAATGCGAGGGAGAAAGAGTCTTCTGAACCTGACTCTAAGCCTTAGTATAAAATGGGCATTTGAATGTAATGTCCACACTTAATGACAGAAAGGGGAGGACTGCAAAAGAACAGGTTACTAACGAGTTTCTATAGCCTCAGAAATTGACTCAAGGTCACTCTGGATATTTTAAAATATCTGTCCCTTTTAATAATGACAGTACCAAAACCAATATTTATTAGTTATGTTCTTGGCACTGTGCTGCCAATCTTACATGGCTTTGCTGTTTTCATCTTCTCAACAATGCTATGGACACCCTCATTTTACAGCTGAAGAAACTAAGGAGGTGAAGGTTAAATAACTTGTCTGAAGTCCGTGAGTACTAAGGGAGAGAACGAAGATTTACATGGAAGTGTCTGATCGCATTAGGCTACCCAGCCTCCTTCCCCATCTAACATTGCTATTTCCTGGATGACAGACCTCTTCAGAGCTACCATGACAACCCCAAAAGGGGGCTTCAGAAGCCTTGTCTGTCCCGTCCCCTCCCCAGAACACAGTCCTTCAAATCGAGATGGGCACATGGCCCCAAGTCAGTTCACTCAGATTTGACTCCTCAAGAATTTGGGATTAGGAGAGAAATAACCAGTCAGTCAGTCGGATTGGTCTTATTTATTTTTCTTTTGTGCTGAGAAACTGTCAATTCAGGCGCTATGCAATATCCGCCTTGTTCTCTTCAGGTCAATTGAAAGGCAGGAGAGGAACAAGTGGTAGGACATGGAAAAGAGACAGGAAGTGAGCCTTTCTAAGTTCTTAACAGGTGTCCAGCTTCTTAATCTAGGTCCTACCTGAGGTCCAGCCCTTTTCCTGCCATCAGATGCAATGAGACATCCTCTATTCTCATAAGAAATACCCTCTTTTTTCAAGCTGCCCTGAGTTGGTTTCTGTCACTTACAATGAGAGTCATAACTAAAATACCATACAGACCTCCAATATGTGGTTTCTGTCTCCCCGTATTTATTTTACTGTCCTAAGCGCTTGTCCCTTTCAATAGCATTTTCTGTTGTGTTGCAGTGGAGAAATGCTTTCCTAAATCCCACTGAGATTTAGGCTTAGAGTAAAAACAATATTGTAGGTACCAGCGGACCTCCATCTTCTATTAGAAAGACTTACTTACTAGACTAGGAACAAAGAAATTTTGAGTTGACAGAATCCAATAATCTGAGTTAAGGTAAATGTCTTTATAAACAAATCAGTTCAAATAATTGATGTGTTATTTCGTCACTGTAATTTTAAAGAAAAGCAGAAGCCCTTTCCATTCCTCTTTGATAATAAAATACCATCAAGGATCTTTACACTCCTGGTTTCTGATATCAATTCAGCCTCCTGTGATAGGTGTTACTAAAAACCTTTGAAGGGCTTGTTTGTACGTCAAATTTTCCTTAATATACCAACTGATAAATAATTCTACTCTGCAATCTTTCAAGAAAAGCTGTGAAAAATAAAGTAAAAAGCGAAATTAAATGTTTTTTTTTTTTTTTTCACGTTTCTTTTTGTCATAAACCATGGAATATAGCTCAGGATCTCCATCTAGTGGAATCTTTAAGGTGATAACTCTGCTGGAAAAATCTCTTAGCACTGGAAAGTTGGGGATGGGGCTATTAAATAAGACAATTTTTTTTTTCTACACACATGCATTTATCGAGAGTCTTAATATGATAAAGTATGTTGCTTCTTTTTAACTAGGAGAATCCATATTTCCTGGGTTACCGTTATTAATAGGTCAGTCTCTACTAAGGTCTCCAAACCATGAAAGACCATCATTTGTCACTTGGTTTACAGGGATTGCTGGGATCTTTCTCCTTCTCTTTCCCAAGCCTGTATTACATAATTTCACTTCCTTTTAAAAAATCCACTCTGACGAGGTAAGTAAAGAGAAAGGAAAAAAACCTCAGGAAAAGCCATTTTTATTCCAGTTGTTAATTCTCATCAACAGTGTGATGGAGAAAGTTTTTGATGGTATGTAATATACAATGTGAGCTCTCTCAGGTATGATAAAGAGTCATAATAAGCCACACACTGTATGTCATACCCCCCACATCTGCTTCTCAGGGTGAACACAGCCTATTTCTGTGTAGCAGACTGAAGAAATTTCAATGATGGTGTGTTATTTTCCAGATAGAACATTCCTGATTCTTCCTGTCCTTGGAATGTAAGTTATGCAATGCAAGTTACATTCCCACAAGCAGTGCCAACTGCTGCCCTCAGAATAACTTCGAAAAACTGTTAGCTGCATAGTCACCACCTCATGTGGCCACCCCAGTGATCCAGAAAGCCTAAGAATTCCTTCCCTGAATTTTCTATCTTTTCTTCATTATGTATGGGTTTGTTTTGAGGCAGGGTGGTGCTCTGTTGCCCAGGCTGTAGTGCAGTGGTGTGATAATGGCTCATTGCAGCTTTGAACTCAAGTGGTTCTCCTATTCAATGCCCCAAATAGCTGGGACTGCATGCATGCGCTACCTCCACAGCCAACTAATTTATTTATTTATTTATCTTTTGTAAAGATGAAGTCTCACTATGTAGGCAAGACTGGTTTCTAACTCCTGGCCTCAAGAGATCCTCCCACTGTGGCCTTCCAAAGTGCTGGGATTACAGGTGTGAGCCACCAGGGTTGGCCATGTCTGGTATTTTGTTTCATGTGTGTGAGTCCATCACTAGTTAAACTAGAAAAGATTCCTATTTTTTTCTTTTTTCTTTCTTTTTTTTTTTTTTAAGATGGGGTCTCCCTACATTGCCCAGGCTGGTCTTGAACCCCTGGGCTCCAGGGATTCTCCTGCCTTGGCCTCCCGAAGTGCTAGGATTAAAGGCATGAGCCACTGCACCTGACCAAGATTCCTATTTTTGAACTTCTTGGGTTCAGATCATATGAGTGTCACACTGTCGACATGCTGTTGAGAAAAGATGGGGACCATTTGGAGTTCAGTAGGGATCTCTTGTTATAGTTATGCTGCTCAATAGGCTGTTTATTCATGCAACATATTTGGTAAATAAATTTTTATTCAATTGAATTAAATAACATTTAATTTATATACTGATTGTTCTTTTTTACAAAAGAAAGCATCAATTGTCGGGTGGCGCTAAAGACTGCTCTCTGTGACAAATATAAATTCGTGATTGTTGATATAAGTGACCAATATAAATCTACGCCTGAAAATTGCCCTGGGTTCTGTACAGCCAAATTCAATATTGCTTTCATGTCGTAATTAAGTCTTCATTCAGGCTATATGGTAAAATGCTTGCATTAACAGCCCCGCCTCCTTACCCTTCCATCATTTTACATGCACCTTCGCAGTGTCCTCTCACTCTGACTGTGGCCTCAGGCATGTAGCCAGCTTTGGCCAATAGGATGTTAGCAGACTTGGCTTGAGCAGAGGCCTAAAAGGCCTTGCGAATTTCTGCTATTTCTGTCACACCTCAGCCACAACCACGAAAACACATCTCTCTAGGCAAACCTGCTAGAAGATGAGCAGCATGTGGCCCAGTCACTCATGTCATACCAGCCAAATATTAGGCACATGAATGAAACCAACTGATACAAGGTGAATCACCCAGCAGAGCAAAGCCTAAAGCACTGACCCGCAGACTCTTGATTATTCTCTTCAGTTACTGAGTTTTGTGGTGGTTTGTCAAACAGCATTACTGAGGCAATAGATGCCTGATAGATGATGCATGCTAAGTTTTCGAATAGCATAGGAGGTTCTGTTGGAAACGGTGAGCTGTAAACAAAGAACAACTACAATTTAGGATATTTAGGATGTAGGATAGATGGAAGTCAGAGAGAGCAAAGGTGAGAAAGTGCCTCACATTGAGGATAAGTTGACATTTGAAGAAAGAAAATTTGAAAGGATGTAAAGTCAGACAACAAGGCCAGAATAAATGTAAACACACTTAGCTAATATGTATGCAAGGAAGAAAGTCCTGATGTTAGAGGATGGCTACCACATAAGATCTGCTCTCATCACACATTTAAATATAGTGGTGGTGACTGCTTTAAACATTAAGGAATTGCAAATGTGACTATTTCTACAACTGGGTCTGTTTTCGTGGCCGTAGGTGGAGAATAGACTGGAAATGTTTTTTATTTTTGAGACCAGTCTCGCTGTGTCACCCAGGCTGAAGTGCAGTGGCCTGATCTTGGGTCACTGCAACCTCCTTCTCCTGGGTTCAAATGATTCTCCTGCCTCAGCCTCCTGAATAGCTCAGACTACAGACACCACCATCACACCCAGCTAATTTTTTTTTTTTTTTTTTTTTTTGAGACGGTGTCTCACTCTGTCGCTCAGGCAGGAGTACAGTGGCATGATCTAGGCTCATTGCAATCTCCACCTCCCAGGTTCAAGTGATTCTCCTGCCTCTGCCTCCTGAGTAGCTAGGATTACAGGTGTGTGCCACCAGGCCCAGCTAATTTTTGTATTTTTAGTGGAGATGGGGTTTCACCATGTTGGCCAGGATGGTCTTGATCTCTTGACCTTAGCCTCTGTGATCCATCTGCCTTAGCCTCTCAAAGTGCTGGGATTACAGGTGTGAGCCACCATCCCTGGCCCTGGCTAATTTTAAAAAAATATTTTTAGTAGAGACAGGGTTTCACTATGTTGGCCAAGCTGGTCTAGAACTCCTGACCTCAGGTAATCTGCCTGCCCCAGCCTCCCAAAGTGCTGGGATTACAGGAGTGAGCCACTGCACCCAGACTTAGACTGGAAGAGTTCTAAAGCTCTTTCCCCATGTCCCATATCATTTAAGTATACTACTTTATTGTTTTGCAAACTTATTCTTAAAAAGTGTGGTAGTCACGGCCACAATTGCTGTAAGCAATAGGAAAGCAGTATCTGCAGCATTAATACCACTATGATCTGAGTGTGCTTGAGCTAGAGATTATGCCATGAGAATTCTGCTAACATTGTCGTTATGATGTTTAGAACACATGTTTCATTCAGGAGGTATGCTTCTTGCCTAGATCTCTAGGTATTTCTGCAGAGGACAGAGTGAAGCAACTGAGATTGGGCTAGAGTAACATGTCCAACTTCCTGCATGTGATTCATGCCAGCGTATCTTTGGGCAGGGCTGGGCAACAACAGCTTGGAAGATGAATTTCCCATATTGAGTAAATACATTTGCCCCTTCCCTATCACATACACAGGTGAGATGGCACTGCCCTTCAGGTGATTTGGTTTGTGAAACAGAAAGAGAAAAAGAGGGGGTGGGGAGAGAGAGAGAGAACAGACAATTAACTTCAAGGGTGACATTAACTGTTCATTTTGGAGGGAGGGAGGATTGTTTCATGGACAAATGTCTTATTAACCTCAACTACAAAGCTCTCTGGCCAGTGACTCATCTCATTTTTATATACCTGTGGCATCACACCTATTGAAAAGAACACTGTAGACTCCCTGGTTTATATTCATTTGCGGTAAGAAATTTTTAGTACAGTCTTATTTAAATGGAAGTACAATGGTTTAGAATTTCTTCAATAGCAAGTGTGTTAGTCTATCTTTTACAATATGATTTTTTAAAAGTTCAATACATGTTTTAAAATTGCCTATTTCCTTGAAGGAATGGCTATTTAGATGTCTAATTTCCAACCATCTTTATCACTTCATGCATTTTTATGATCTTTTTCCATCTTAGAACCTAATGATTATAAAAATGAAGTTTCATTATTTGGAATTAACTATACAGGTAGTCATTATATCTCTCACTTCCTCAGAAGTTTTTTAATAGTCAAAATACATTTTCTTGAAGAGAGCTGGTGTAAACGCTAATGTTTGCTCTGTTTGCTGTAAAATTTGGACAAGGCAATTGAAGGTAAATAGATGGGAGCTATTGAGATGTTTCTATAACCACTGCCTTTGCCCTTCCAGCCAGACTTTTCCATCGTTCCCACCACTGTCTTTTCCTCTTTGTTCTTCACACTACCTTCTCTTCTCACTGTCATACAATGCTCACTGACTGACTGCCAGACATGCAGGGGACACACGTCAGGGGCTCCTCACTCTCATTGATTCTCAGCAAGAAGGAAAATCAGAGAAACATTTCTACCTAAAATATAATAATGATTCCTGTGATAATAAGTAATCAAAAAATATCACTTATTGAGGAGGCACTGTGTATCTAGCATTATTCCAGGAGTGTCATGTATATTAGTTTATTTAATCTTCACAACAACCTACCCTGCATTTTACGCCCAAGTTATAGATGTTGAGAAAGATGGTTCTATTTTGTTTAAGGGATGAGAGCTTCATCTCTTGGCATCAGATGTACCACATTTCCCTGTGCATGTGGCTGTAGTGATAGAATACTTCTTACAAGGTATTAGAACTAGAGGGGATAGATCTCATATAAACATAGGAGGAACCTGTTTAGGATATAAAAGAGTTATTTTAGGGAAAAGAATTCCTAATTATGCATACAATAAGACACACAGATTCTATATGTATGGCTATTGAGATGTACAGGGCTATATGGATAATACGTACCTAACAGGTGTTGAACAAATGACATGGTATATTAGTGTTTTGTGCATGTGTCTTCATTCAGGAAAATGTGAAGCCCATGAAGGGAAATGGGATTTCTTGGGAACGTTTCCAGTGCTGACATCTTAATGCTATTTAATTTAAAACAAGATCAGAACAGATGCTGGAGAGGATGTGGAGAAATAGGAACACTTTTACACTGTTGGTGGGAGTGTAAACTAGTTCAACCATTGTGGAAGACAGTGTGGCACTTCCTCAAGGACCTAGAAATAGAAATTCCATTTGACCCAGCAATCCCATTACTGGGTATGTACCCAAAGGATTACAAATCATTCTATTATGAAGATACATGCACATGCATGTTCATAGCGACACTGTTTACAATAGCAAAGACCTGGAACCAACCCAAATGTCCATCGACAACAGACTGGACAAGGAAAATGTGGCACATATACACCATGGAATACTATGCAGCCATAAAAAATGATGAGTTTGTGTCCTTTGTAGGGACATGGATGAATCTGGAAACCATCATTCTCAGCAAACTGACACAAGAACAGAAAATCAAACACTGCATGTTCTCACTCATAGGTGGGCGTTGAACAAGGAGAACACATGGACACAGGGAGGGGAGCATCACACACTGGGGTCTGTTGAGGGGGGCAAGGGAGGGACAGCGGGGGGATGGGGAAGTCGGGGAGGGATAACATGGGGAGAAATGCCAGATGTAGATGACGGGGGAATGGAGGCAGCAAACCACATTGTCATGTGTGTACCCATGCAACAATCCTGCATGATCTGCACATGTACCCCAGAACCTAAAGTACAATAAACAAACAAACAAACAACAACAACAAGAAAACAAGATCAGACTCTTGCCACTGTGCAACAGTGACTATAAATGTTTGTATTTTACCGAATGTTTTATATTGA